TTAGTATGTCCTCCTTTAGCATCGATCACCGCCTGAATTCTATTTGGCATTGATCGCACCAAGTCACGATACACTTTCTGTAGTATCACTTCCCAAACCTCTTTTACTACCTTTTCAAGTTCACGAATGCTTGATGGCTGAGGGTTGTGTTTTCAAATTTCCACCTCAACTACAGCCCACAGGTTCTCAATTGGGTTGAGATCGGGACTTTGAGCAGGCCATGGAAACACCTCTACATTTTGAAACTCTCGTACAACCTTCGATGTGTGAACTGGTGCATTGTCTTCCTGAAAAATGAATTTTTTTTTGGTTTTCCAGGAAATGCTTTGAGTGTGGGAACCGCATAAGTGGAAAGCATCTCTTTGTATATATTTCCAGTTACTGAACCTTCAAGTAGAATAATGGGACCTAATTTTAAAAAGGAAAAACATGCCTAAAACATTCTTTGAGGAGAATGTTTTACTGTTGATGCAATGCAATCTTCATTAAATTTTTCTTCTGGCTTTCTTCACACTCTTCCCTATCCAGTTTTTTGAAACTGTGAAAATGTAGACTCATTTGTCCAGACTATCTTTTTCTAGTCTTCTACAGTCCAATGTCTTCTTTCTATTTCCCATGCAAATTGTTTGTTTTTGTTGATTGCTGAGATGAGAGGCTTCTTTCGAGGAATACAGGAATGCACATTTTCCTTGTAAAGTATACGATAAATTGTTTTTGTAGAGACTTGCTTATTAATTTTAGCAGAAAATATATTAGTAATTTCTACTAGACTTTTTCATCTTAGTTCTTTATTTTTGAGAACCATTGCCTTCAATCTGTCTTTTTTGGCTATTGATCAAGCAGGGTCTACCTGGTCATTTTTTAAAAGGTGCTTCTGATTCATAAGCTGCAAGACATCTTATAACGGTTGTTCGATAACATCCTATAGCTTTTGCAATCTCAGTATTGTTGTAGCCTAATTTTTTGGCTGCAATAATGCCTCCCTTTTGCATAGGAGTTAATCCTTTAGTGAAACCCATCATATGCGTATAGTAGAAAATGGTAGAGATTTTCAAACCCGATTTTTGCAATCTTTAACATATTAAATCAAAACAATAAACAAATAATCTATTTAGGAAATATATGCAAATATGGTATAAAAATCACATGGCCAATTACATATTAACAATTTATTAAATTGGATAAATTTTGATCGTGCAATATTTTTGTCTCCCCTTGGTAGCAATCCTAAACGATAACGCAAAACATTTGCTCAACAGATTGGAAAAATATGCCATCATTAAGGAACTTTTGACTCTTGTGGAAAAACTATTAAACAAATTGGAAAATAAAAATGCTTATATAGAGACTGGATTAATTTGTCTAATAGGAAGTACAATGAAGTTAGAAGCAAATGTATGGTCTATAGTAAATTTGCTGTTTATTAAAATGTTAAGATAGAAAAGTCAGACTATGCTGATTTGGAAAAAGAATCTATATTACAGTTGGAAAATGTTTTAAAAAGTGTAAATATGTCACTCTATGACTATAAACTGTTAATATTGATGAAAATTCGAAGCAACGACGAATTCCTTAGGAATAAATCTCAAACTCTGATGCAGGCAAAAGAAAAGCTTCAAACGTCGATTCCTGAAGAAATGAAATTCTTTAAGGAACTGTTGCAAAAAGTTTTCAATACTCTCGGTATTTGGAACGTTTAAAAATAAGTATGAATTTTTTGTCAATTATTTTTTGCTTTGCTAATTTAGATTACCTTTCCTTACATACAATGACTTCACATTGTATATTTGCAGTATTACATCTATTCTTTCACTGATCTTTTGGAAAGAGACTATTACATCTTTCGTTAGATTAGATACGTCGTATTATTCTAGATCTTCTAGCTTATCTTTTTATTTTTTTTTATATATTCAAATAATTAAAACAAAATTTAAAATTGCGAATTTTCTTTATATAAAATAATGAATGCATTGAGAATGAGCTCGGCCGGCTAAGTAAAAAACAAATAAAAAAAATGATAGGCAATATAGTTGCCTGACAAAACTCTCAGGTTTTGACGGGGTCATTGACAAAACTGTAATAAAACCTTATTGGTAAACCCGTTGAGACTCAAAAACATAATAAAATCTCGTCAAAAGTCAAAATTATATTATATACTTATTAACAAATCCAGAGTTGCAACTTTAACCATTTGCTAAAATGAGTACTGCCAGGCAACTATAATAGGCAAGCAACCCATATTATAGCAGTTATTAAAGTTAAATTAATTTTGCTATTTTATGAATCAATTTCGACTAATGCACTTAATATATTTATTATGTAAGTGAAAGTTGTTTTGATTCTTTCGATAAAACCGTTTTTAATTATTTCATGATGTAAATTTATGTTCTTTTTTTTATTATTAAAAAAAAAAGGAAATTACACTGTTACTGTATATCAAATGGCATGTTTTTTAGTATTTCTTGTAGTTAAACCACACATTCATGTTATGTCGTTCCGTTAAGTCAATGACTTGTTTTTATTTTTTTTTTTTTATGAATTTATTATTTTTATTATTATTGATAATAAGTTGAACAAGTACCAAATGAGATTCAAACAATCTTTAAAATTTATTTAATTTAATTATTTAATATATATGTAATTTTTATCAAAATGTAACGTATTCTCATAATTATAATAAATGTTGCATGCATAAATGACTTTACCAATTTAGATAAATAACGCTTATATTGTACAGACCCCCACCAAAAGTTTCTGAACACTTTTTTACCCAATATTAAACTCAAAATTTTTATGCAAAACAATAAAAAGTTTATATA